GGGGGGGGGGGGGGGGACATCTTTAGGAATTTATTCGCGGGAAAACCAAAGTTGGAGGTCAAAAATAAAAGTATATATGTAATATATATATATATATCAATAAAGGAGGGGCTCTTTATACTAAAAACGAGAGTTTGCTTTTTTCTGGGAAAAAAATATTAATAGGTTCTAATTAATCATCAAAATTCCCCCTGTCTCAGTTCATATTGGAGGATTGCCCAAATTAAATCCGGCGCGGGGGGTTCCAAAAAAAAAAAAAAAGAAAATCCCCCTTGGCGTGGGAAAAAAAAAAAAAAAAAAAAAAAAAAAAAAAAAAAAAAAAAAAAAAAAAATTAGAAGGTCGTAAGAGAAGAGAACTTCCACGTAGTGAAAAGAGGGAGCCGTCCGAATATCGTCCAGTGGAAAAAGGGGGGAAAATTGAAATTGGTATATACAAGAAGGAAAGAGAAAAACCACAGTCATGTACGCATGGCATGCATCATAATGAAAGGGCGTATGGGGGAGAGCCTTTCTATATTTATTTAGTAGGCAGGTAGGTAGCTGACGAAGGAAAACTCAAACTCATAATCACGACGAACTCGATAGTCCAGCCTCTGGATTCGAGCTACTCTTCTCCTTCTCCCGGATAGTTTGATCCGAGTCGATCACCATAGTCAGAGAATAGCTCTCCGTCAAAAGGCTAAGGAGCCCCGCAAACCCGATGAGGGCACAGCAGACAGCCCACACGATGCGCAGGCTGTCCGTGTACGCCTGTTTCAGATGGTGCTTCGCAGGTCCGTCCTCCATGGCCAGGACCACCCGCACAAGCCCAGCGGCGTCCTTGCTCAACGCCGCCGCGTTGCTGGAGAATTCCGGGTACCGGAGCAGGTTCTTGTGCATCTCATTTTGGAAAATGACACCGCCCACGGCAACGCCGATGGCTTGTCCGAAGGCACGGAAGAAGCTGAACATCGCGACTGCGATGGCCATGTAGCCCGGTCTTGCGGATGCCTGGATTGCAAACCCAAGCGCGGGGAATAGGAGACCCAGGCCAATTCCGGTCGGGATCATAAGGAATATCCAGGCCGCGATGCTGGTGTCGACGTCGAGGATGGTATTGAGCCCCAACCCCAGCGTAGCCAAGGCGAATCCGGTCCAGACTGCCCAACGCCAGTGTCCCGTTTTCGTAACGATAATACCAGCCACGGCAGCAACAGGGGCAACGGTGAACGACATGGGGAAGAGGGAGACTCCGGAAATAATGGGGGTGTATTCTTTGACAGTCTCGAAATAGAGGGGCATGTAATATAAGCCACACCAAAGGACAAGGCCGTGTAGAGTGGTCTCTATGTAGCTCACGATTGCTGTCCTGGTTGAAAAGATGACTATGGGGATAATGGGGTCATGCGCAAATTTGTATTCGTAGATCATCGTCACGACAAGCCCAATGGCGCCGATGATAAGTGGGACATACGTCCTCCAGGAATCCCATTCGTACATTACGCCACCCCAGGTCACCGGGATAAGGAATGAGGTGGTGCTTCCGATGAAAAGAACCGTTCCGACGTAGTCGATACGACGGAGTTTCGACAGTAGTGAGGAAGGAATGAAATTCAATTTCAAGAAGAGGACGATAAACACGGCTCCAACACCAATGAATGGGAAATTTATGTAGAAAATCCACCTCTACATCCCCAAAATTGGCAAAAGGCGGTCAGCATATCGTCCCGCAGTACATGGGAAAGAAGGAAAGAAAGAAAGAAATAAAGAAAGAAAGAAAGAAAGGTAGAACCCTCGTCGTGACTAGATTGCGGGAAATTTTGGCAGGGGTTCATTCGACTTACCCATGAGACACTTTGAGAAAACCCTCCCCCAAGGATTGGGCCGGTAACTGAACCAACACTCCACATAGCACTGATGATACCGAAATAAGTACCCCGCTCCCTCAGTGGAATAAGGTCGGTTATTATAATCTCAGTAAGAGCAATGAGTCCACCCCCACCTATTCCCTGGATGGAACGCCCCGCTAGCATGTTGGTGAAGTTGTTTGCGAGGCCAGCGATAATGGTCCCAACAAAGAACAAGGTGAGCGAAACGAGAACCAGAGGCTTGCGTCCGAAAATATTAGAGAACGAGGCGAAATTTGGTTGGAAAACTGGCAAGGGCAGTTAGCGTTGAAAATAATGGTATACCAGTATAAGTTTAGAGATGGATGATAAAAAAACTGATATTCACCTGTTGAGCACAGCAAGAAAGCGGTTCCACTCCAGAAAGCCTCAATGGCGGAACCATTTAATTTCTCCGCGATTATCTACGGATATGATTTCAGCAGAGCCCTTACGTATGCTAATAGGAAAAAAAAAAAAAAAAAAAAAAAAAAAACAAGAGAGACGAAATTGACAAATGTGGGAAGCTTACCGGTAACGCGACAGATATGGATGTGCCATCCAATGCAACCATCAAAGTGAGCACAGCCAGAGTCATCAAAACAAGCCATGTTCGGCGAGAAGGGTGAAATGGTTGTGCATCCGAGGTATCGGACAACGATGAGGAAGAATCGCTCTTGGAGCTATCGAGCGTTTCTTTGGTGAGATCCTCGGGGTGCCCTTCTGAGGGCATAGTATTTAAGTCTGCCATTTGTACTGTACAGTACATGCACTTCTGGCCGTTGGCACTTGAGTAGGAAGCTCTGATTTGTAGCAAAAATGGGAGAAGTTGAGAAAGTTTTGTAGTCTTCAACTTGTAGATATAATAACCGAAAGATGTAATACTATGACGAGCGTCTAGGATTGTCCATCGAACTGCAGAAGTCTGTACACAAGAGAAATAAATGGGAGTGAGAATGCATTCCCACCTCGGGGCTAGTGCAGGTATTTATATAACGTCTAAGTTATACGAACACCAAATAAAAGGGAAGGGGTAAGAAAAAGAGAAACGTCATTTTTTTTGCGTCAAAGGACGAAGCGATTGATTAGATGATCAATCGGAGGTTGAGATATCACGATTGGACCTTCTGCGGAAGCGGACTTCACATTCCTCCGCAGGGGTATAGCAGGGTTAGAGCTGGAGGGGGCCATCAATATAATGGATCTGCAAGGCCTCTCATGGCTTGAAAGCTTGTCTCCGTAGACTAGACCAAAAATTCAACAGGGGGACACTGGTTGCGCTATACAGTAAGCAGCACGGTGTCGAGTCAAAGATCAACCTTGCTTTCAACAGCTTCGCAGAGCTTCGACGAACTGCAGGGAGCATCACCAATCGCATCATACGGCCTTGAGACGACACAACGCCGCAAGCCGAGGCATCTGGCCGCGGAAAATCCCCTTACGCGCGAAGTAACTCGGGGCACCCGCCACGAGCTGTGCTTAACCTTCGTGAAGGCGAGAGACCCAACGCACAACGGGAGTCAGCAAAACTCGTTAATTCTGGCTCGTATTCGGCAAAACTCTGGCCCGAGCCTATTGTTTGCCGGACGGGCCAGATGGGTGCACGCAGCGTTGCAAAATCCGTCTAATTCTCAGGGGAAAGGGCCTGGACAAAAATTCGCAACTCTTGACTCCAGGGCTCCCTGGCAAGGATCGATCTGTATGTACTGTAACTGCTGGCCAGCGCTTGGCCAACTCCGATTAGCCCACACCGAGCCGCTGTCCGAAAGCGGTTCAATGTTCGTCCGGTTCTTCGCCAGTTCGGCCGTTTCTCCCTCTACGTCATTTGGCTTCGCTTCGAATAGCAAACCAGGGTTGTAATTTTCCAATATTTCCATTGATCAGGGGCATCCCAACGCACAAGCTCGGGAGAAGAATGGAAGCACGATCGGATTAGACGATACATACATATTCCGAGAGAGCAGATAAGTAGTCACCAGCACAAAGTCTGACGCAAGAGGAAAAAAGGAAGAAGCGGAAAATGAGATATGTGTTACGTTCGCTTCACTAAAACACACCCATATGGTCCATTAGTAATACACTCACTGTGGACTTCCTGTTACGAGAACTAGCGTTCTACCTCTGTAGGTTGTCACACACACACACCACATTATCCTCGATACGACCAGAGAAATCAGAAACGCGACCAAGTGTGTGCGTGGTTATGATCACATTAAAGTTGAACAATTTTGCATACCATACTCCGTACTGCGTAAATCATCCTATTTCGCGCAACCTCTCTGTCATGGTTGGCTACAATTTTGAACCGTCGTCAGGTTCATACATATATGTTAACACCAAAATGATTATGTGCACAACAAACAAAAGTACAGAAGGCTCTTCTTAAAAAAATAGGATTCAAAAACATGCGAAAAGCGAGTTAAAAGGTTAAGTTGAATGGAAATAAAATAAATACATATCATTACAAGTACAACACACACAGCGAGAGGGAGAAAGAGAGGCGTGAAAGAAGGAGGTTAAAATTGCATTGCATTCTTCTTGACGATGGCTAGAGTAGATTGGAACAGAGTGAGGAGGTTCCGTGTCATTCCTTTTTTTTTTTTTTTTTTCCCTTCCTTCTTCAATTCTCTCGCAAGGTACAACAGATATTTGATCTTGTCTGCTGCGTTTTCCTTGCCTACTTGTATCATTCTCTTCCTCCATCCCATTCCATCTATCCATATCCTGTCCCGGCCCCTCCGGAAGGAAGGGGGAAAGAAAAAATCGACACAAAAACGGCCGGAATGATGATATGTATTTATTGCCAATCAAAGTTCAAAGTTGACAATAATGGCGGTGATAGATATACATAAGAGCATCTGTCTCTCTCTCTCCCTCCGGGTCCCCTCCACCACCGCTTCTCTGTCTTCGTGTGCGTGTGCTAGACGACAGGCATTGTGTGTGCTTGGTATCCTTTCGTCTACGTTTCCCGCCCGCACTTCCATTGCACTTGATAAGCATGCGGGATTGAGTAGGCGAGTAGACCACAAAAATAGCTCCCGCCAGAGCTCAGCAGATATGTGGGTGGAAGAGAAAGAAAAGGGATGTGGTTAACCATGTCCACTTCCACGACTTTCGATGGCCTTGGGCCTATGTTTCGTGTCCCATATATAGAGAAGTCCCGGCTCGTAGGAGGTAGAGCAGAGGCTAGCAGAAGTCGAGAGGCGAGGAAAGTGGGAGGCGGAGAAGAAACGGAAAGGTGAGGAAAAATTCTCTTTCCGCATATTTATATATATAAAATAATTAAAATCAGATTTTTCTTCCAAAGGGAATCATACACAGCGAATCAGATAGGAACAGGAGTAAAAAGAGGCGCGTTCAGATGAAGTAGGAAGGAGGAACGGAAAAACAACAAAGAGGCAAAAAAAGAAACAAAAAAAAAACAAAAAAAAAAAAAAAAACAACAAAAAGAAACTCCCAATGATGTCTTCCTCTAAGTCATGCAACGGTAGTTTGAATTAACCTCTTTCTTTCGCTTCTCTTTTCAATTGGTTGAAAGGTAAGTTTAAGAAAAGAAAAAGACAAATAAGAAACAAAGGTTGCAGTGCAGGGAACAATGAGGTGTTAATAACATTCATTTAAAAGAGATCACCGCATCCCCAGAATTGCTCAACGCCCAGGTAGCCTGGGTTTTTCCAGAGATCGTTCGTGAACGAGAAAAACACAGACTTGGATCCTACTACCTTGACGATGGATTTGATGGCGGTCGCCTGAGCCTCAGGGGAAGCAATGGCCTTGCCGTTGCTAGAACCGCCGCTGGGCCAGCCAGTCTCCAGGTTGATGGTTTCCTTGCCTGGGCAAATGTCTCCGAGGATCGTCATCTGGTTCTTGATGAAGTTACCGCATTCGGAGGCAGCAACATTAGGGTTGAAGAAGCAGTGAATGTTGGCGCCGATAACGTCAATGTGCGGGTCACAAGATCTTGACCGGCTTCCTGCCATTTGTTCTGGGGCGCAGTAGTGGTGATTGGACCATTGTAGCCGTCACCCTTGAAGCAGCCCCTGGCGTAATCGAGGAGCTCAGCAAGGGAGCCCGGGGTGGCGGTACCTTGATTGAGCGCTCGTACCGACAACGATGAGTCGACTGTGTCGAATTGACCCCATTTGACAATGTCGTCGACTTGATTCTTGGCATCCTGGATCCCCTTGGAAGATACAAAAACACCGAGGATCATTCTCAGGCCGTTCAGCTTGCAAGCGTTACCAACGTTCTGTAGGGTGTCGCAATCTGTGGCATAGACACGGACGTTGTGGAAGCCCTTGAGCTTGATCAGGGCGATATCGGCAGCTACGGCAACAGCGCCCTTGCACTGCCCGTCATTGGTGTATGGAGAGTAAGTCATACCCCATTTTTCACCGCCACCAAGAACTGGGGGTTCTTGCTCCGCTGGAGTTTTCTGCTCTGGCTGCTTGGGTTGCTCCTTGGGCTGTTCCTTGGGCGGTGGAGGCTGGGAGGTAGGATAAGCGGTTGGGGCGGGGTTGTTTCCAGTAGCGGCGGGACAGATATAGACGTAGTTGGTCTCGGTGACAGTCACGGTTTGTGCGGGTTGAGTGTAGGTTCCAGTAGTATATGTGGCAGGGGTTGGGTAGACAAAGACAGTGCTCGCGGCAACACTGGTGGTGGAAGGAGCAACGGTATAGGTGCCAGCGGAGGGGCAAACATATGTGGTCTGCTCAATGACGCTGGTGACAGTCTCGCCAGCGGGTTTGGTGACAGCAATGTTGCAGGTGACGGTGGTTGCAGTCGTGACAACGGTGGTGACACCGCCGTATGTATGCTCACCAGGAGAAACAGCGGTGCTGGTGGCCGCGCAGACAGTGGTCTCCTTGGTCACAATGATAGTCGTTTCTGGGATGATATAGGTTCCCGGGGTGGGGAACACCGTGACTGAGGGAGTGGGAAGCGCCGGCTCAGGGGTGACGGTGACGGTCTTGGTGTTGGTGCTGGTGGTTTTTATGGTGGTAGTCAACTCTTCGACCTCTATATGTTTTTGTAAGAAAAAAAAAAAAAAAGATCTTGTCAGTAACCATTTCAACCCATTGCACCCCAGATGTAAACGTCGAAATTTCCCCTTCCCCTAATCAAAATTTTCACATTTTCCACTCACAACCCCCACTCTCAATTCCCGACTCCCCGTCTCTCCCCTTGACGCGATCGAGAAAGCATTGAAGATTAAATATCACCTACCACTTGGCTCCCCATAGTAAGTGATGACCTTGGTGATACAAGCACAGTCATCATCATCACCATGTTCCTCGGGGCTATCGCTGGGAATCGGCGATACCTCATAACCACCAGTGGTGTTGGGAATAGGCGACACCTCAAAACCAGTGGTGGTTGGAATAGCAGACACTTCGTATGAGGTAACCTGGGGAATGGACGAAGCCTCGCAGTCACTGCTGGTTGGCGCAGGAGAAGCCTCGGAGGTACTGTCGCTGGGGATGGGAGAGGCCGGGTAGGCACGACGCTGGTGGAAAGCGTTGTGCTGTGGATGGCCGACGTGGGCGAGAGCCGAGCCAGCTATGGCGGCCGCGGCGGAAAAGAGGAGTGCTCCCTTCATGGCGTCGCAGTCAGAAACCAGTTATTCGGGGCAATATCACTACACAGGTGGTTATGGCTGCTCCTTGGAGGAGTGGAGGAGGAGGGGGATCTTGGCTTCGTGAAGAAAGAATGCCCGCTGAAGGAGTGAAGCGGTGGTCAGGGAAAAAGACGGGAATAAATCGTCAAAGAGAAATGAACGGAGATGCGAAGGGGGGAGGGAGATCGCAAAGCCTGAGGGAGAGGACGGGGAAGAAGAAGGAGAAGAGGAAGAGGAGGAGGAAGAAAAGAGCGTGATGAAGGGCAGGGAAAGGGGCCCGCGGGAAATGAGAACGGCCTCGTATGGTCACGCTAGTACGGGGCGACTGCCCCAATAATACACGTCGGACAGCTGGTTTGGCATTGTTGGCATTCATTTCGTTGCGCCAATGGCAGCCAGTAGCGAGCTGACCGACAGGGGATCGCGAGGGCTAATTTATCTATCATCTCCCTCTCGATATCTCTCACTACGGATGCCCGTGTCTTCGAAGCCCATACTTTGCAGTGTATAACTAACCATCCACCCTTGGAAGCGCAAGATGGTGCAGAGAGGGAGAGAGGAATCTCATACTACGAGGCAAGAGTAAGGGGAAGTCAATCAACAAACAGGACCGATAAGGTTGTACTGCCTGCGTATGGAAAAAAACAGTGGTACGGGTATCGCCCGCCGCCGTGGCCAATCAGCAGAACCCGCTAGTGCCAAGCACCATTCCTTGCGCGCTGGAGTTCCAGGGGAACTGCCAGGTACCCTCCGCCGCTGATTGGCCCCTCGCCCAATCGGCCCCCCCCATGCTTACTAGTTACTTATCTTATTGTTTTACGCCGTACACCTCGCTACGGAGTACGCAGCGTACAGTGTATAACTAACTAACTTACCCAGCACAGCCAGAAATTACACCACTTCTCCGCCAACTGCAGCAGAACAACGCACAGGGAGAGAAGAAAAAAACCAGCAGGCTCATGGCTGTTGTTTTCTCCACAGGACATGTTGGTTTTTCGCAAATGCCCGCATCCGATTGGGGAACAGCTAGCTGGTGCACGCTGCGTGGGCGACCCAGCCCGCTGCTGCCACATGCCTCAACGCCCAGCCATCGCCCCTCTTTGGCGCCCAGGGAACAGGGGGGCCCCCTGGCAGCAGTAACAGCCAACAACAGCCAACAACAGCCAACGAAGGCGGGGAACAAACAAAACTCTCTAATTTATGATTACCTCCTCTGTTTTCCCGTATTCCCTCACACTGCCCAGGAATCGGTAATTTGGTTCTTTCATTTTTTGACGTCCCCCCATTCCAAGCCAAAGGGAATTTTTCAACTCACCTGTCATGCAGGACGGAGGACTGCAATCGACAGTCAGCACAGCACAATGGACTTGAGGGAAATCCACGATTGGATTTCCATGCATGAAATCCCACCGCCATACCAGGTCCATGCCCGATTTTCAACTGGCTGGCCCTTGTCACTGTTTTTTTGTCGTTACTGATTTTTGCCGACAGCTCATCCGTGCATACTAGTACTAGTAATTATATGAAGGGCTGTATCATGGATGCGATGAACCGCGCCTATTGAAGAAAGACATGCTCACAAAGAACAAGCTGAATTTAGACTTCACCAACGGAGGTTTTATCAGCTGAGTTTATCATCGACACCCTGGTAGTTCTCCACTGGTTGGGCCTGGAGGCAAATTGCTCCCGCGGATCTCCAGCAGACTTTCAAGATCTGTCTCAAGGTTTCAGGCCAATCTTGGGAACGCCAAAACGTCCATCAATGCTTCTCACAAACCTTAAAAGTCTACTATGTAGAACAAAAAAAAAAAAAAAAAAAAGGAGAGAGAAAAAGAAAAAATAAAAGTAGATCACAAGGAATGATCCCAGGCCTGGATCGGAGAAGGGTATTATCCCAATGTGGGAAATATGAAACGGAAAAGCAACCCCAGGAGAACTTGAGCAGGCTGTGCATCTGCCTTCAGTAGGAGAGATGGAGAAAACCCGCACCCAGCTCCACAGAACAGAGCGCCAACGCAGCCTCAGCGGGAGCGACTCAGGCTGAAACAGCCGAGAACCAAGCCTAGAACTGTCCTGGATATTGGGATGTTCCAA